TAAACAATAGTCTAGTGATCAAATTTATGTTCATCATAGAATAATATTACTTATTGTGAGTTTAATCGTCTGTAATGAATGAATAATTGATTAGACACATATTAAGTTTAATAAACCGTAAATGTAATGATAATTTGTCATTAAATAATAATTCTTCCATCCAAACAACAATTTGTAGATATAATAATTTGTTGAAAATTTGTTGAAAATTTGTTGAAAATTCTTTCTATAGTAGAGAAAATTGTAGCCTGTGTCTTGTCGCCTGCAGATATCGTATTACTCTGAAGAAGGTCAACTCCCGTAGTCTCAACTGTAAAGCCAAATGCTCGCGACTGTATTTCTGTTTACATTCTCCCGTGAAAACGAATTTGTTGGTAGACGACAAACGAAACAACACGGTATACACATACATACACACATACATACACATATAGTATATACGGAGTAGAGAGTTCCTTGGCACTTAACCTACGTTACAATTTAATGTTTTAATTTAGCTTTGAATTTTTCAACGAATCTATTTACTTACTTAAGAATTAAATAAAACATCATTTTCAATCTACTATCCGAACAGTTTTTACATATGTATGTATTTATTACATCGACAAAATGTGAGTGCAAGATTCCTTATGCATGTTAGCAGATGAAAAAGCTTCAAGAGACAACAAATGTCTTCTACTTGTAGAAGAAATAATGTATTCACCAATGCAATAGGGGTTGAATTTAATCGGCAAAACGTGTAGAGATGTGCTTAGATCACATTATAACTCGGATACTTGTATATATAAACGTGTTGTATTAAAGGGATTATTGGAGGGGCAAGCACTGTGACTCTTTCATTCTCTTATTTCTCCACCCTATGGTAATCACCATAGCTATTTGCGTCCTAATATCCCGCGTGAACGCTCCTCGTAAAACTCTTTTCGTCGCGGTTTTTGTAAGCGCGCTGGCTTGCATTTAAAATCGCATTTTATGGAAAGCTCTTTTACTACGAGCAACTAGTAAGACAAAGCGAGAGAGAGAAAGTGAAACGGACATTCAAACATTTACCTACCAACTATATCAACATAATTTTGAATCATGAATTTATTTAACCCTTAACAATTGTATTCATTAAATCACACATTATTATATACACTGTAAATCTGTCTAATTAATTATTCTGTTGGAAATGTATCTAAATATATCCAAGAAATTGTTAATACAAATTTCAAGATCTGTTCCACGATTATGTGATAATAAATATAAATATTACGTTACAAATGTCTAATCAAATAATTCTTCATACAAATATTTGCTAGGAAGAATATTTGCTAAGAAAAAGTCTAAAGAAAAAATATTGTCCACTTTTACTACTACTTACTATACTTTCTACTTTCTTCTCGAATAAGGACAATACATTATCTTCAAACTAACATTCAAATAAGAAAGTTTAACTTTATCAAGAATGTATATATACGTATGTGTGCATATGCAGATATTGTATATGTAAGAAAATCATGCGATAAAAAGAAGACAGATTTACATATATAAACTTTTTATGAATAACTTTTTCGTTGGAGAACTCGATTTCATTCGCGTGCACGTATGCATTGTCTAGAAGGAAAAGAGTGAAAGTGAGATAGAGATAAAGAGAAAGGGAGAGTGACAATTGTATTTTTTTCTCGCTAACCTTGGCATTGAAAGAACTGCAATTTCTCTAGATATTATATATATACGTGAGGTGAATGTGTATGTAGGTTACTATGTACTGTACTGTACTGTACTGTACTGTACTGTACTTATTTTTTTCTTCTTTGAAAAGAACAAAAAACCATAACGCGATAGAAATATTTCTACTTTTGACCGTCTCGAATAATTCAAACAGATTGAAAACACATTGAAAAGTATAAATTAATTATTGGAGAAACCTTCAATAAGAATAGGAAGAAAGAAAAATTGGATTAAATATACAAGAAATAATGTTAAAATACGAAGTAAACAAGTTTATGAAGTTTTCAGTGACTTTGCGAGCAGAGACGTTAAAAGATTGCGTGAAAATTACATAAAAATTGATTTTTATATTATCGAAGGAATATATAAAACCTTTAGAAATCTAAACACGTCAATCATATAGCTGATAAGTGCATAATAAGTTTTTACCCGAAGAAGTATATTATAAGAAAGTTTGACCACATTTTTCATTGCCCATAATTTTCTATCGTTCTTGACAAATTTCTAAACTCTTGGGAAAAGATCGCGTTATTCCTACGAAATATAACTCTGGGAACAGGAACGTCCTTGGAAAAACCTACCTAACCATTTCTCTCACTTTTTCTCTCCCTCCTTTCAATATCTCACCCTCTCTTTCTTTCTTTTTCTATTTCTATGAGAGTTTTCCAAGTTGATATATCCGAATCGCGTGCAAAACCTGGCCCTAACACCAACTTCCGCGCATACACCAACAACTCGACGAATACATTACGATCGATAGTTTTCAAAGGTGTGGATTTTTGAAGGAAATGCGATTTTCCCTTAGTATCTGAAAATTCAATTTTCGCTGGACCCTATTCCTTCCCCTTTTCTCCTCGGTCAGTAACTATCCAAAAACAACGAAAAAAAACAACAACAAAAAAACAAAAAGAAACAAAAAGAAACAAAAAAAAAACCCTCGTCGAATTGAACTGCGTGTAACGAATTTGGGTAACGAATTTGAACAAAAGTTTTATTTTTATTTTACGCGCACAATCAAACGGAAATATAGTTTTAAACCAGTTCCGTAATCCTTTTAATCATATGGAAAGTTGAAAAGAAAAAAATCGAAAATAATGTCATGTTTAGAAAAGACTACTAGGATAAAGATCAAGAAAAACAGTAAATATTCGGATAGTAAGATAGGTGGATATCGAAGGAAACGTAAATATCTGATAACGTGTGATACGGAATTCTTTCTTGGTAACTCTAGTAGGTTGCTTTCAACATCGAATCTCCTCTGAAAGAAAAAGAAAGAAAAAGAAAGAAAAAGAAAGAAAAAGAAAGAAAAAGAAATAAAAAGAAATAAAAAGAATGAGAGGAGAGTACTATCGTCGTCGAGTGGGAGTACGGAGAATTCGCAAAGTGGACGTGAGAAAACGTTCTCTCGTTGCGTTTGGCGGCCGAAGGGTCTATTATCAAGCTGAAAGACACGATAGATATAGCAAAGTAAAGTAAAGCAAAGCAAAGCAAAGCCAAGTAAAGCAAAGCATAGCAAAGCAGATCGTATGGGTTGTGTTGAGATTACTGGCTTTATTGAACGATGTAGGCCACTTGTTCTCCTTCCTATATCGTCGTGTTCTAGTGTTGTCGTCTTCGTCAAGACCTACTTGACAGCTATGATGATGACAAACACCCATACTTATGCTAAATGCGTCTAAAGACATTTTTTCCTCTCCCTCTCTCTCATTGTTATCACGTAACATATAAAGTGACAATTATAATAATAATAATAATAAAAGTAAAATTTGATCAATTTTCTATTCAACAAATTCTATTTCTAAGGTAGATCAATTTATACTTGTTCGTTTATTATGTGAAATCTTTTGTAGTTATCATCGTCGTGTTTTTTAACGATTTTTCACGATCGTATTCTTTTGACTTTTTTGTCTCTCTCCTTACTCTTAACGTCATCGGTAATTGAAAAACTTTTCTTTATTCAAGTTTCCATCGGAAATAAGAAAAATTGTTTCGGAGATAAAATACTTTTCTACAATTACGTATAAATTATAATACATTTATAATGAGCTATTACTTTCTAGTAAGTTCTCTTTTCTTTTGTCAGATATTAGAAATATATTAGTTATTAAAATATTAAAAAAGCAATAAATTTCTGACAAATGAAAAAACATAAGTATATTATTATGCATTATATAAAGTAAATATCCAGCACATTTTTCTTACGATTATAAATGACAAATACGCTCAACATGGCGCATTTATTTTTCGTCTTAAAAGCTTTATGCACGTGAGTACGCATAATTCTAGCATGCGTACTGTGTATCTATCCTGAATATAGTTGATATATTGTATATAGCAAATTTTCTATCATTTTGTAAAGTGGTCAAATCATTTTCATCAATACTCTATTACTTACCCGTATTATTCATGCTTATATATAGATATATTTGTATGTATATTTGACTGTAATTTACCTGTATACATATATTGGAGATATAAAACACAGATTGAAAGTTTCTTGATACAGAAAAAAAGAATGGTTAGAATGTGTGTTGTAAAAGGGAACGGAACAAATACATGGATAAATCGTTTGAAAAACGATCCTACCGAATCTATGGCAGATCAAACTTTTCAATCGTTCGTGCAGTTCGACATGCAAATATTTGTCGAAGTTTACAGGATTTGTACTCTCTCTACAACCGCAGTTAGAAATAAGAAGAAGAAGAAGAAGAAGTCATACGTTGCTTTAATATCGCGAACGCAATTGAAATCAAAAAAGCTCTTAATTTTTGATTACAAATTGTATGATCGAAAGCTTTCCTACGCGTGTATATTTTTTTTATTTTCTGCTTTCTTTCTTTGTTTTCATTTAATTAATTTCATTTTATATTGCAATTTGGGTTAATCGGTCAAAAAAAAAGAATATCATATTACGCCTTGAAAATAATGAAAAATAAAAAAGGAAATACATATAGAACGCAATAAACGCTACTGCACTAGCTTTTTACCGAAACAGGAATAAAAAAAAAATATTATTCCATCGAGTAAATAGTAGCAATATTCCGCAATATTCTTTTTCCTATTTTTTTATTTTTATTTTTTGGCTTTTTTCGATGATTTATTTTCACGTCCAATAAATAAAATATATATATATATATATAATATATTATAATTAAAAGAAATAAATAAAAGAAATAAAAATAATGATCAATTAAATCAACAAAATCAAGGCTTTACGTTATTATTAATTGTCAACTCTAATTACCAACGAATCGATTATTAATGTATAAACGTAAAAAAAAGGAAAAAAAGGGAAAAATCAATTAGACATTTATTAAAATTAATAAAAAGACTCAATTTTCGAGCGAATCAAGAGCGAGTTATTCTCATCTTATATATCATTTCGCAGGACTACGAAACACCAGCGTATTGCTGTACAACCTTTGACCATTCCTTCGGGAAGGATCTTTGAATGTGAGAAAAGACCTTCTTGATTTGACGCGTTTCCTCTGGGGTACATTGTGGACAGGAACCTCTCAAAACCAATGGTGCCAAACCTGGATATAAATAAGAATATTAATCATACACATATACATATATATATAATTATTTTCTTGTCGAGCAAACCAAACCATTTTTTAGATGAAAAATAGATAGATAGAAAGTAGTCGAATACCGGCTGGGGAGATTAACGTTTCTCTCGATAATCGAAATTGGGAATTTACTTGTCAATATAATGGACGATTTCGGTTTAATAATTAATCCGGTACAATTGGTAGGTACAATTGGTAAGTTCGATTGGTGTGCTAACCATGTTCAATGCATCGTGAATTTGCAACTTTCATTCTACATCTTGCGTTATCGTTTCTTTACAAACATATTTTTATTTTATCTTCGGTATAACCCACAAATGAACACGTTTACGATGAAAGTTACGCTTTTATTTGAATAACGTAAGAAATATCGAGTTTTGTTAGTCTATTCTATTTTCTCAATAGAAAACGTTGAAATAGTTAAGTTGAAGTAAGGACATACTTTTCAAACGTCTTCCAACAGGATCGCAAGCCGCCTCGCCCAAAGCACACTTCAGTTGTCTTCTCAAATAACGTTGGTCGTTCAAAGCCATGTTTAGTTGGTCTTCGGAAACACGAGATCTTCCAAATTGTTCTTTCTCATTTGTCGATGATTGTGCGTTACACACGATTGCGTGTATACACATACAAAGTAAAATCATCTGCAACAATATTGTTAACAAAACAAACGCAATAATAAATCTTGATTAAATCATATCGCAAACATATGTATCTTATGTACATCTAAATTGAATAGCTACAATACACTTCTTCTTTTTTTTTTCTTCTGTTTTTTTTTCTCCTTCTCTTTGTTCTTTCGATAGTTCGATTTTTCGTTTGAAAATCGCGTCATACTAAAAGCCATTTCTTTTTGATATTCCGTTCTAGTAATGTTTCCTCACCTGGCACTGGCGAGATATCAAGCAAGAGATCGCAAAAGGTATGAATAATAATGTTACGATATCGTCGATATAGGATGGTGGTGGTGGTGGTGATGGTGGGGTACTTGGTGATCGGTTGGAATCGTTGCTTTAGCGCGCGGGCACAGACGTGCCGAAACTTAAACCGTCTCTTATTGCGCTACTTCCGAAAGCTATGAATTATACAGAACACGTCGTATACGCGATCGCGATATATAATACTTTTCTTCTTTTTTTTCTTTCCTTTGTTATGGCACCTATTGTCAATGTATGCTATGAAGAAAAAAAAAGAACAAGACTAAACGCGAAATCAAAAAGTCTAATCAAATAGTTATTTGCAACAAGCTTGTTATTACATCACTCGAAATGCTATGTGGCATCGCAAGTAAGCGATATTTCAATATAATCATCAACACCAAAATAAAACACATTTATTATCATGATCAACGGAAAACAATGTATAGGGTATACGCATACATTCATTGCTTTGGCATTTTCTACGAAGCGTAACGAAAGTGCATACAAGTAAATAAGTATGTTACGACTTATGATCGATCGATCGATCAATATGTTTCCTTTACGAAAGAATAGCAAAAGAACATTTTTCTCTTGTGTGGTGTGTTAGGTAAATGTATCTATACAACGTTCTTTTGCCGTAAAACAATCGTCGAATGCTCGTAGATCTATCCTAGCTTATCTAAATATATACACAAATATGCATATAGGAAGGGAAATATATTTCTGATACGCGCGCGATAAATCGAACTATCGGTTGGAAATGCAAACACTTTCGATCTTTCGATCTTTCGATCTTTCGATCTTTCGATTTTACTATACAATAACACAATATTTATCGTCTTTCTATCGTACTATTTTCTCAAAACGTTCAGGAATATGTGATTCACTTGGAAACGTTTCCATGAATTTATTTTTCACACATTTCAAAGAAATACGTTTTTAAATAAATTCAAATGCGTCATGTATATACATATTATCAAACGCATTTCAATAATATTAATTCAATCCAAATTTTATAATATATTGATATATAATTTTTTTTTGTTCTAAAATTGCATTCTTTTTATTCATTGAATGTTTAATAAATAATTTAATCAGAGAATAGGGCCAATTTGGTAAATAAATTCTGAAGTGATTAGAAAAAATTTATATATACAAAATTCGAACATATATCTAACTGGAAAGGATCGATCCCATAGGGAAAAGAAATAAAGGAAGAACAACTACGAAACGAATTTTCTCGAGCGTGCCCTCGAACGTGTCCTCAAACGTGCCCTCAAACGTGCCCTCAAATGTGCCCTCCCTTGAGTAGAGAGAATAGGAGAAGGGTGTCCCCCTTGGGGAGGACCGAAACTTTAAATCACACACACATACACACACAAACGCGCACGCACACGTGCATTCTACCTGTTGCTCGTCCGTCACCCACCTTGATTGTCAAGCTCATTGCGGTACTCTTCTCTTCCAAATCTCTTACACTATCTTTTGTCTTATTTTTTTTTTTTTATTTATTACTGCCGTTTAATCCTCTTTACAAAATTTACGTAAAAATCTGTTTAAAAATGTAATTCAATTTCAATTTGTTCCTCGCAATATTTTCACTACGCACGAATGATTTTAGCGAGGAATTTCGATTTTGGTCGATTCGTCTTTTGTCTTTTGCCTTTGTCTCTAACTTGACGTCCTTTCACTGTGAAATCTCAGAACGAACTGGCCCGAACGCTACGTCCACCCACTTTTCTCCTCCTTCTTGCTCGATAAATACGAAAGTGGCTACAACCGCGCTCATCTACGTCACACTCCTTAGGTGACGTTTACTTTACGATCTATCATTATTAATAATATTTTATTTTTTTATTCGTTACAAGACTAACGTAGAAGTAACGTAGAGAAGTACTTAATATTATCAAAGTTATGCGAAGAAACCTTTTTCTAAATATAATGATTACTTTCATATTCAGACGATCGATTCATTCATTGGAAACAAATATCAAGTATAAAAGCACTTTAAGAGTATTTTGTTTGTTCTCTTTCTATAATAGAATTTTGATCGTTCAAGCTGAAGCCTTGTCGTTCGTTCTCGTTAGGCTACATTGTTAGGTTACATCGTTAGGCTACATCGTTATGAGGCAAACTCTAACAAAATGAACAACCTCCTTTCCCTTCTTTTCCTTTTTAACATCTCGAGAAAACAAAAGTAACCAACTTGCTGAGTGTGAGTAAATTTTCAACAAGTTTCTCAACGTCGTAGAATCTACACTTTCCATTTTCGATGCTTTTACCATTTCTCTCTACTTATTTTATTTTCATCATTTTTTCTTTATTTCTCAGCTGTATTCTCCAAGAGTCCAAGAGGAGAAGAAGAGGAAAGGTGACAGTAGTGGCAAACGCCGATAAAGTAGCGGATTTAATAGACGATCGATGTGGCACACCCAACTCCTCGGTTCTTTTGCGTGTCCGAATGCTCAAAAGAGAAATCGGAGAGAAAGATACAAATCATCTCGAGATAGAGGGAGAAGGACTAACGGCTCTACGATATAATGCAAATACGACAAAATTTGATTCGTAATTACGAATAGAAGAACAATTACGTAATATAACAAATTATGATTATTTTTTTCAAACATTTTCAAACATTGTTTTTCTCGTTTGGCTCTGCAAAAAAAAAAAAGAAAAATATACAAATACATCGTATGGAGAATATATAGAATCCGACAAAGAGGATCAAGAGATAGAAATAGGAAGGAAAGCTAACGTAGTACAGTAGGGGAAAAATCGTACGTTGTATCGATAAAGATTACACGAACCGGATTCGTCGATCCACTTATAGCGCGTACGAGCTTTCGCGGGTGCCAAGGGAATTCCTCCTCCTCCTCCTCCTCCTCCTCCTCCCACTCTTCTTCATCCTTCACGTCATCGTTGTCGTCGTCTGCAACTGCAACTGCAACTACCGTTCCTCCTCCTCTCGTCTATTTCTTTTTTTTCCCCCATCCTCTATCCGCGATTTTTCTTTTTTTTTTTATTGTATATCGAAGCGCTACACTACTATACTGCACTATACAATAACGTATATAGGGTGAATCAATTACAATTAACAACTCGAATAACTACGTTATTTTTCGGTTTTTTTTTATCCCCGAGGATTTTTGTCCGCAAAACTGAAAGAAAAACAAAACACAGAAATTATCAGGTGATAATAATTATTGACTCATCATATATACAAGATATATATATGTGTGTGTAAGCAAGCCACCCTTCGAACGGTCAATAGCATTCGGATCGTTCGCGCGAACCTAGCGAATTACGTTGCATCGTTCAGATAGGGAAAAAGGTTTACCCGAGAGACGACCAATAGGGTCGACCAATAGGGTCGACCAATAGGGTAGACCAACAGGGTCGTATCTCTCGACTGGTGTTAATTAGCGACTTTTAAGCTTCATTTATCTCTCTTAATTTTCCTTTTTTCCTACCTCTATTCGCCGTGTTTCATCTTTATTTACTCTTCTTTTTCATAATTGTTTATTTCGAATTTCGACGAATTATGACGAAACATCTACCAATTGTTTGCTTAGCTATTGCTCAACTTACAATTAATTTATTCACATTATATATAGTATCACAATTTCTAATTTATTCATTCATTTATTTCATTTATTTCATTTATTTCATTTGTTTGATTTATTCTTAACGTAGTAAAAAGAAATGTACTAGTTGTCTCTAAAGATTAATGTATTTACTTAATGTATTTCTCTAGATTTCTTCTGGATCCTTTTCATATACTTTTTCTTTCCCTATGGGATTAAAAGAATTCTAATGCAATTATGCGAAATTACAATAGCTTTATTTTAATCTTCTTGATTGCAATTTAATTGCATTTTGATGTTCCTCGCGAGGACGATGACATGCGGAAGAAAGGAAAGAAAGACAAAGAGAGTCCAGAAATATCTTCTTTCTTTCTCTCTTTCACCTTTTTCTCTAACTTTTAGGAAGGATAGAAAAATTGCAACGATCCCGTTGAAACATGTAATGCACCTTGTTAATGTTTTAAAAAAGAGATAGTGCAATTTATAAAGAAAAAAACGAATTTTACAAATTAAAGATTCGATCAAAGAAAATTCTTTTTTGTTGCTACACCTAATGGCATTTAACTTGTTAACACGTGCTTTTAATTGAAGTTCTACTCTTTTGGAGTACTTTTTAAAATAATAAAAAAGGGATTGATGTAATCGCAGCTTAACATTTTTTATACGATATTTATTAATAAAAATGGGACCCAGTACAAAAGGAAGGATAATAAAATGTAAAGGAAAAAAACACGTATCTCGATCGATCAATCAGAACGCGTTTCCGGTTAATAACACGCTTTTATCGGATAAGAGTTTTTCTTTTGTTTCTTCTTTCTTTTTATATAATATTCTCTTTACTTTCTCCTGTTGATTTATTTTTCTTTTACCCTTATCTTGATGTTTTTTATTACATGCCTTAACTAAAATTTAATACCGAGGGAGAATATATTAAACAAGTACGGTAAAACAATCTCGAGTTTTGCGAAATATCGATAAAGACAAGAAGAATTTGCTTCGGTCAGCAAATTATTTATTTATTTATTTTTTAAATACATAATTTTTTTATTCTACGTTTAACATACGTCTAAAGAAAAAGAAAAAAAGACGAAAAGAAAGAAAATAAATTCTAAGGTGAAAGTTCACGAGAACGTGTTACGTTCGAACGAACACATACTGGTTGCTGCTCGTTCAATGAAGAGAAAGTAGGAAAAGTCCGGTGGCTCTGCAAGGCTGAATGAATGAGAAAAAAGAGCGTTCGTTTCCCGGAAACGATTGCAGTTGGTACGAACATTCACCTCAAAGAAGAGAAAAAGAGAGAAAGAAAGAGAGAGAGAGAGAGAGAAAGAAAGATGCGCTTCGTAAAGCTAAGATGAGAACCGATTTTTATATACTTACGCTTCTATCCTGATAAATTGTTAACTCGATTGCGAAAAAAGACATTTACTTTTCCATAAAGATCAATCAATAACGATATCGATATCGATATCGATATCGATATCCTTCATGAATTTGCTATAATTTTAGGTTTGACCGCGTGAAATCCAGCAGTATTTGATCGAATAGAACAGTGATGATTAAAATGAACAAAATAAGATCTCTCTCTCTCTCTCTCTTTCGTGGAAGAAGGATCGAACGATCGTCATGAAGCGAACAGAAATGGTACGTGGCAATCGACGAACGTGATGCAAATGAATTCCGCAAACACGACCCTTCCTGCTATAGTACTACTATACCTACGTATACTACAGACCAGGCCACAAACAAAAACAGTGTGTGCCAATCAATCCACCGTATATGCGTGTCCTGAATAAGAAACACTCGATTTGCACAAATTATAGGAAAGCCGACAGCATCGAAGCTTTCAACCTAGCTTTTCCTAGTACTGTAACTGAAAGAGTGAGAATAACAATGGTAGAGACATAGAGATAGAGACAGATAGGAAAAGAGAGATTGTTTAACATCCTTTTCAATGTGGTTGCTGTCATCGTCCTTGTTGTAATGTAACCAACGTTGATTCTTGCTCACAATAAACACAAAATGAACCCCCTTTCTATTTACACCCCCTAGCTCTCTCTCTCTCTCTCTCTCTATCTCTCTCTCTCTATCTTACTTAACTCTATCGCTATTTCTATTTCTCTATATATTTCTCTATCTCTATCTGCCTATTTTTTTTCTCTTTCTGACTTATATACGTCCAAACAGATATGTCACGTTTTTCTCGCTTCTATACACAACGTAATTACATCCACCAGGAAATATATAATAATAGATTTGATTGGATTCTGGGATTCGATTTAATATTGAAAATCGAAGTGTTTGTATGTTCATGAAATTTATCGAAACCAAGAGAGAGAGAGAGAGTCAGATAGATCGTATGTAAAATTTAAATAAGAAATTTTGCATCTATCAAAAAATTATCTTTCGCGTAAAAAGAAAAAGAATAAAAAATAATGTAAAAAAAAATAAAAACTCTCTATATATAAATTCGTAGCGAAGACTTCCCTATGATCTCTACTTGATAAACTTAAGAAACTGGTTTTTCATGTTACAAGTGCTTCTCTCACAATACGTGAAAGCGTCGATAGAAAGCAGCAATCGAATATAAGTAACTGTGTAAGGTACACAGTTATGTATATATATATATATATATATATACAACACAACCTGCACGCGCAAGAGTGTGCGAACTCATGATCATTACTTTGAAAACTTTCTACACTTTTTTCGACTTATTTTCTTTTAAATACATCCGTCAATCATTGCTAATAACAATTTATTTGCCAATAATATAATCAACTATAGTATATAACAATCATATGTTCAATAAATATTATTATAATTATTACCAACATTTTATACAAATTAAAAATAAAATAAAAAGGGAAAAAAATGTGAATGGAGTAAAAAACATAATACAATCAGATATGAATTATCTGTATAACAAAATCGATTGGACGTAGACACATGTGCATTTCTCTATAAAACATTTCCATATTTCTAATTCTTTGTTAATGCGTAGGGAAATTTAGCGTTATAAAAATGTTTTGCAAGCTTCGAGTTTATAGTATACAAATAAAAAACAAAACAAGACAATTGTAAAGAACATGAGCAAACAAAAAATCCCACAGAGAGAATAAATTGCATCTCTTTTTAAGTTTATTGGATGATTATTCTTGTTGAGAAGATATTCATGATGCATGGTAACTCTTTTATCTCGATTTTGAAAAACTACAAAAATATGAGAGAGAAAGACACATATAGATATATGTGTTCATATAATATATTTACACATATGACTCAATTCAAAGATAACAGCACACACATACCCTTGCTTTATATCGAACATGACAATTCGCTTCTGTTATATTTTACGATAATTCAAGCTCGTTAAATCCTAATGGAAGATGGCAGAGAGGTGAAACAGCGTAATTACAGTTTTGGAAACTATATTACCTTCTATGTTAGGATGTATACCTACATAGAAAGAGAGAGAGAGATTCACAGATGCATCTATAGATATATACATTTATTATATATATATATATATATGTGTGTGTGGGTGTGTGGGTGGATGCGCGCGTGTATTTATGTATATGTATATGTATATGTGTATTTATATCTGAGAACTGAGAACTATCTGTCCACGGTTGGATGTACACATGAAGCTCCGTTTTCCAGTTGTTGAACCCTACTAACTTGGATAATGTAACTCAAACACATTTCGAGTGACGTGTACAAGCATCTAGCTAACCGAGTCTCTTTAAGCAAACGAAACACGCGTAGAAGTCGTGTTCAAAAAATAAATTTATTATGTGTAGTAATAATATATATATATACATATATATATATATATATATATATATACATATATTTTGTTTATCTTATTAAAAGTTCATATCTTGTTTCCAATACTCATTAATGAATAATTTTCTAATCACATATCCAATCTTATTATGTGTTTATTAAACACATATTTTTCCTTTTATGTCATTGTAAAAACATGAGAGATTAACTTAATAAGGGAAAGAGTAGGAAAAAATAATAAATAAATAAATGAAATGAAAATGAATATATTTATCTCACGTAATACGGCATTCTCATATTTATTTCAACGAAATCAAGGGATGCATCAGAACGTTTAATGAAAATTTCATTTCGTTTCATTTCGATTTAATTGAGCGCACGATCAACATTTTTTTTCTTCATATTTTTTCATATTTATTTATTTATTTTTTATACTTAAGATCGATATTTTACCGTACCATTATCAAAATAGAACGGAAGAAAATTAATGAATCGTTACGGTAGTCCAAACTTTTGTTAAAAAAATTTTATATACGCCTGGACGATTAATATCTGTTGACGTTTCAAGTCATAACAGATTTTGTTTCCTAACAAAGTCCCTAGATAGATATTGTAGAAGTTGGAAACGAGGAAGCAAATTTTCATTATTTTCAACATTTCAAGTATACAAATACAAAATATACGAAAAATCTTTATATATGTTTTACCGAAAAAGTAAGTATATAGTAACTCTTGCTTACGATGAATATTTAAATAATCTATACATATATCTATATACAATTATCTTTACATATTTATCTATTATCTTCTTAAGATAGAGTGTATCATATTATACTGATTTAACTCGACACATCGATAATGTTCGATTGTGCATATATCGATATGTATCTAATGTATCGACAATGCAGTTTTCTATTTATCTGATAATTTCATAAAAATATAAAAATATCTTCAAAATAAATAACAAATGACTTATAATTTAATTAAATAAAAATACATTTTAATATACTTTAATATGTTTTCTAATAAATGTTATTTATTAAAAAATATGTTTTTAAGTAACATCACGTATACTTGAAAATATATGAGAGTGTCATCTAACGGTAAACGATAGTTATTACGTAGCTGCATAGCAGCAAGGTTTTAAGTACGCATGCGCAGACGATGCAACACGCATACAAATGCAAGTTATGTGTACGTAAGCGAACGCAACAATGGCGATCTAAAGAACTAGCGTGCGCTTTTTCATTAAATATAATTTGACATTACGATTAGTGTTTACGCTACCTCCATACGTATATTGAAGAAGTTAATGTTCGTTAGTGTTCAAGTAAACTATGTGATTAATAGGAAAACATAAATAGAAAATAAAAGACTAGTAAATTGTCTCTGATAAAAATTAGTTTTAATCTTACCACACGAATCCATGGTGTTGGTTTTTGGTGAAAAAACGCATAAGCCATGTATACAACCATATCGCACGAACTTTAACACACTGGTAAGTAATAACGTTTTCATTATATGCACATAGAATGCACATTATTTTCTTAAATAGATCTTTATTTATACGCGAAGAGTCAACCGTAGTTAATGCTATGAAAAAATGTGTAGGTTAGGTTAGATTGAGACATTGGCATCTATGCATAGTTTTGTTTTTCTTCTTTTTACTTTCACAGTGCTTCTATATTGTTTTAAAATCATATTTATTAATACTATTAAACGCGTCTTCTTAGTTACACGTTATTATTATTATTATTATTATTATTATTATTATTATTATTATTATTATCATTGTTATTATATTATTATTATTATTATTATTATAATCTACCCCGTGGGTAATTATTATTATTATTAGTATTATTGTTGTTGTTTTTGTTGTTGTTGTTGTTGTTTTTATCAACTTTATTAAGAATGTTTTTTCATCAATTAACTTAGAAATAATAAAAGAGTTATCATTTATTTACATAGTACATGTGTACGTGTATACGTGTGCGTCTGCGCGGTCGCGTGTATGTCCCCTGTTGTCCTGTGTGCCTGCCTGTGTATTTAGAATAAAATTATTACTAATATGTTCACACATATCATTACTAGATGCCTGCCAATCGATGCTCCTTTCAGATTAGCTTTATTAATATTATTGGTCAGATTTAAATCGCATTTTTTAATTTAATATTACCAATACTTCACAATTTTATGTTTATTCCAAATTTTTTTGTCTCCATTAGTATACTTCATAGTTTTTCCTTTTATGGAAAAAAACATGTTAAAAACAGTAAAAAAAAGTTCGTACAAATGTATCTTACTTGACTTCATTGAAAAATTCCAGCAATTTCTGCATTACAATAATTCTCAATAGTTCATCTTCATAAAGGTTCATGCTCAAAATGATTACCTTAAGTTCTTATCTGAATTTCCAGTTGTATCATAGATTCCACAGTATTTTCGCAATTTCAACTAATGCTTTGAATCTGTTATCAGCCTTCTTGTTTATATCCTCAAAGTTTTTCACAATGCTGACAATGAGTGTTGAATGCACAATTTTTTTCGAATGAAAAGACTTCAAATAAAAATCTAATTACGTCTTTGTAATTTTTAATGCTGAGCGTTGAAATTAAACTGATTAAACTGAAATGACCTGAAACTTAATTAAATTAACAGAATGAGTAGTAACATTAATGAGGATAAGAAATATTTACAAGACTTAAAGTGCATTATTTATAATTACAAACTGAGAATGATCATTTTGAGAAGATCAAATAGGACACACATGTTTATATGAACTTATTTTTATCATTTTAGATATCTGTGTTACACACATCCTGTATATTAAATTGGAATAAAAATAATTTATAGTGGTGCTCTCGTACGGCATGATAAAATAAGGGAAGAGAACGAAGGAGATGAGCCACAACATTGCAGGCATGCCACCCTTTGCGAGGATGCCTTTGGGGGGTATGGGAATGGGTGTGAGCATGGGTCCTAGTAACCCGCATCCTGAAAATTCTGCTCACCCCCATCCTCCGCCACCACCACCTGCCGGTGCCAATCCTAAGAAAAAAAGGCGTACCAATGCCAACGTAGCACAGCCACCCCCGCAACAACCTCCATCTGCACAGGTATGACTATTCGTTTATAGATATATTAATCCAACAATAACTATAATATCCAACTTAACGCATTTGAGATAAACAATGTATATTGCTACTAAATATGCTATTAAATATTATATTTTAATACGAATGTCTTTAAGAGATTTATCTATAATTAATTGTGTAAAATTAAAGAATCATTCCTTAGTATTTTATTATTTTGTTTACTTTATTATAGGATTTATTACCACCACCTTTAAGTGGTTATGGGGATACAATAGTGGCAAGTAATCCATTTGACGATACGCCACCGCAAACTACTCAGAGTCCAATGATGCATGGTGGTCCACCGCATATGCATCCCCACCATCCTCATCATATGGGTGGACCGCCAATGCGTGGTATGAGTCCTCTTACTTCTATCGGTGGTATGAGTCCTATGATGCCGCATAATATGGGTAGTATGAGTCCGATGGGTAATTCACCTATGACAAATCATATCAATCATATGGGTGGTATGTCACCTATGAATCATGCGCCTATAGGCGGTATAAGTCCTATGAATAATATGGGACCAAACATGCCGCCTGGCCCTATGAATTCCATAAACAATCATATGAATATGAGTCATATGGGAAATTCTCAATTAAGTGGTCCACCTATGGGTAGTCCGATGAATAACATGAACAGTGGGCCTATGGGTAGTCCTATGAATAATATGGGACATAGTATGGGAAGTCCTATGGGAGGTCCATTGGGGTCGCCGATGAACACCATGGGTGGATCGAATCATATGCAAAATGGACCAATGAACATGAACAATATGAATAGTCATCTACCACCTAATAGTCCTTTAAATGGTCCATCTATAAACAATGTCAATGTTAACAGTCCATTAGGACACAATGGATCTCAACCACATCCAAATCATATGGGAAATAATCTTAATAATATAGGAAGACCTATGAATGGTCCTATGACCACCATGAGTTCGATGGTCTCTAATAATATAAATATGAGTGGGCCAAGTCAAATGAACAATATTAATATGGGTGGACCACCAATGAACAGTATGTCTAATATGAATATGAGCCATCATAATCAAATGGGACATATGCAAGGACCAATGGGTACTATTTCTAGCAATATAGGAGGTGGTCCGCCTATGGGTCATACTATCAATATGGGAGGATCTATGCCGCCTCATGGATTTCAAGGCCCACCAGGAATGGGTCCTAAGCCAATGCCTGTCTCTGCGGGAAAAGTAAGTATCTCGTCATTTAATAACGAATAAATTATAATTCATTCATCTCTTATCTTATTTTATTACTAAATATTTTCTTATCATTTAAGATACATTAATTGTTAATACTTGTGTAGATATATCCTCCGGATCAAGCTATGGTATTTAACCCACAAAATCCTAATGCACCGCCAATTTATCCCTGTGGAGTTTGCCATAAAGAAGTACACGACAACGATCAAGCTATTCCTTGCGAATCTGGTTGTAATTTTTGGTTTCACAGGTATATTTCATTATTATTATTATTATTATTATTATTATTATTATTATTGTATTTTATATTGTTCTGATCAAACCAATTAACTAATCATAGTAAACATTAATTCTTTGCAATATGATTTCACTGCTGAGCTTTGCGTTTTATGTTTGATGATTATGTTTGATTTGATATTTTGTATTTCTTATATTTGCGTTACCACAAAGCCTATTATAATCGTTGTTGTAGTACCAGGGGGATTAAAACATATCGATAGATTTTTTTTTCTTTTTTTTTTTTACAAAATTATAAAATAAAAAAATAAAATTAAATATTATAATTATCATATTTCAGAGGATGCACAGGGTTATCAGAGACAGCCTATCAACTATTAACTGCTGAAATTTACGCCGAGTGGGTGTGTGATAAGTGCTTGCAATCGAAAAGCATACCTTTGGTTAAGTTTAAACCATAACACTTCTTGACCCGTCGTATATGCGACGCACGAGTGACTCTTTGTTAGCGTTTACACTTTGTACACGCACACACATACACGTACGCGTGCGATTGCACACATACAAGCACACACATATACACAAAACACGCAAATACACGAAATACATGCATACAATAAACGTCGTCTACTGATGCAGACGTTAAGTCCTGCATAAATATAAACATACGCTGTTTGTTAATAACTTAGTTTTAACTTGTTGAAAATATTAGGGAAAGTGGATTCTACAAACTTTTGAAACGAAATCACATCGAAAGTTTATAGAAATCAAAAAAGAATGGAAAGAAGAAAAACACAAAAAAAAATAATTATTACAACCAATTAAAAAGTTGGATTTGGAATTTTAATATCTGTTTCATGATATAAGTTAATTTGCCTATATATATATGTTTACGTATATGTATATGTATATATACATAGGCCAATATATATATATATATATATTTTTTATTTTAATTTATATTATTCTATAATCAAACTTATTAAAATCTTTTAAATATAAAAATACAACTGTTTCATAACGATTTGGAACGCTTATCATATACGCTTATATATATATGTATATATATATATATATATATATATACGTATATGTAAAGAGGAAAAAGAAAAATTTCAGATTTAAGAAACGTGATAAAAATAATGAATTATCAAAGTGAAGATTTTTTATTATTGAGGCCCTTGAAACCCTTTCTCCTAACAGCAATTAATAAAATACTACGTTTTCAAATGAAATGTTATCTAAATGCATAATATAAGAATTTATAATTATAACAGTGACGATACAAATACAGTAATTGTTTATAAAGAGAAAACGAAAAATGAGAAAAAAATGTCTATTACTAATAACGGGTACTGCATTATTTTTAACAAAGGTATGCATTATTGTAGGCAAACTGTTGTCCTGTGTTTATAACAATTGTTATATTATTATTATTATTATTATTATTATTATTATTATCATTACCATTATCATTGTCATTATCATTATCATTATCATTATCATTATCATTATCATTATTGTCTATTGATATTTAGATAAATATATAAAAATAATAATGATTTTTTAGTTTCTATGTGTAAATTTCTTTAAAACGGTTGATTTTTGTACGACATAATTTGTATATAAAATAGGTTTGATTTACATGGAAACACTAATTTCCATTCGCGTTGACTTTTGAAATCCTTTTTCTTCTTTTTTAGAAGACAATAGAAAATAGTAAATAAATAAAATTATAGTACCCATTTTTTTATTAAGGAAATTTTAATCGACAGTAATAATTTTTCTATTTTTTCTTGTATATGTATCAATACGTCCACTTTATTGTTTTAAAAAACGTGTTTGAGAGAGAAAAAAAAACGAGTTGAACTTGTGTACGTCTTTTATTTGACTGATTTATCTAGTTTAATTTTGTTTTAATATGTAATAAACAATGTAAGCTACAAATTTGAAACTACAAAGTTAATAATGCATTTTAAAATTAAATACTAGATAAAAGAAAAATAAAAGAAAATAAAAATATTTTGTACAAATTAAAAACTTGATGGTAGTATAGAAATAAATTTTAGAAATAAGTACGATTACAGTAATTTTTATTTTTTATTTTTAACGGAAAATAAAACAACATCGTGAACTATAAGAAAAAAAAATGAAAAAGAAATGTTTGTTTTCTCTCAAACAAAATAAATATCTTGTTATTAAGATTAAATACACATAATCTCGAACAGCATTTGTGCATAATATACATTTAATGTTAATAAAATAGCTATAGTAATAGTATTATAATCCATATATATATATATGGTGCTTAAGAATAATCGATCATCGATTGTAATTTAAATCATTATGGCAAGAAAAATTGTGCCATTGTTCTTATATTTATTTTTCAATTAATTTTTTATATTTGATAATATATAAGTACATAACGTAAAATAATTAACAATAGAAGCGAATCAAATGAATTTTTGTTTAATTTTAAATTATTCTAATTTTGTAGGAATAATGAATTAATTTTATTGCATAGTTCGAATCGATATAATATTATTTGAACATTTGTTTCGTTGTATCAATATTAGGCAATTATTATTCTCACTTGCACAATTTGATATAAAAAAATAAATGAAAACATGCGTATACGATCAGGGTTAAATTATCAATACCAGTATCAAAAATTATACCACGATTGATCATCATTATCACCTTTCTCTGATTCTACGATTAAAGAAAACAAAAAAAAAATAATAATAATAATAATAATAATAAAATAATAAAACGTTTCGAACGCGTGTTTGTCTGTGCTAAATTTGTTCTTAATTGTTTTTTTCAAACATATTAATTATTTAATTATTATATATGAATATATAACCGAACAGAACTGATAATAAAAATAAAGAAATAATATAAATTAAAATAAATAGATAAAAAATAGTGTAAGAAAATACTTGAAATTCAAACGTAAACGTAAACGTGTAAAACTTAAGGGAAATGAAATGAAAAGAGAGAGAGAGAGAGAGAGAGAGAGAGAAAGAGAGAAAGAGTAAGGATTGTATAGTTTTTTATATGTATATGAAAAAATATAGCCAGTTATCACGTTTCTATTTAAAAAAAAAAGCCTGTATTAAGCGGAATTGAAACGAGAAATAAATACAAACAAGAATAAAAATACATTTTAGCATAAAAATTGTTATTATTTTTTAATAATTATTATTTCCGCATAATACACGCATTTAAGCTTGTTTTATTTTAATAATCGATGTTTCTTTTTATTATTTTGTATTTATTTCTTTTCGGACAATGATTAAATGCTAATCATTTTAAACATAAGGCACAGGATCGTATTATGTTATTATAATACATAAATACTCATATTAGTACTGCAACGAATAGAATTATTAATCTCTTTGTATGTTATTTTAAATTTTGTTTGTCTTAATTACGTAAATTTGAATCTACGCATATATGGAACGATCTCGTTCGGTTATACACAAATTTTGTTTTTAAACTAATCGTAAATAGGGGATTAAGCTGATCGCATATCTGCACCTACGTACATATTACACATACATTTATATACATAAATACATAACTAAATGCATCGTTGTATATTTATACAAATTATATCTTGTTTATTTAAAAAAAATTTTTTTTTAATCTAAAATGAATCAATAACGAGCAAAAAAACAATATTTTATAATGGATCTATCGCACGATATCGCTTAATCCCCCATCCTTACCCCTACTCTCATAATAAATCAAGCTCACTTTATATACCATCTCGGTTCCAAGATCTCCTGAACATTGACGTTGACTGTTCATAGACGTCACTATGAACATACAACATAATACACTACCCTTGTAGAGTAGGGTATTTCTGAAAAGTTCGTAGGGTAGAAGTTAATAACTGATTCCTACAACAAGGGAGGTAAACTGGAAGTGTCTACTCATTACTATCAAGAATGATATGAAGAATCCAACAATATTGCAACAATGAAAGATTTTTGAATGTACTGTTTTTATTATACTTACACTTGGAAGAAACCATATGCAGCAATATTCTATCAAAAGATTAGCAGAAGGAATGCATCCTAGTTATCACTAATTAGAAAAACAAAAGGCAATTACATTATATTAGAAAATTCTATTCTTGTACAAAATCTTTTACCAGGTTTTCTAAACGATGATGGAAGATATTATTGTTCATCGACTGCCAAGAAAAATTTATGTATTTATATAAATTAATATCTTCCTTGCTAAGAATTCCATGTGAATTATTATGTGAATAGAATGCAGCTGTTCTGACTAAAAATAATCTAGACAATAATATGTTAGAGGCAAATATAATAATTTTGTTAGAAGAAGAGGTAAATATTATAATACTATTAAAATAAACTTACTTTTATCATATAATAATTGAATGGGGAGTTGCATTTATTTTTAATCAATTAATAAAAACATATAGTGTGTGCGTTAACTATATTTTATTACCGACTGGTAAAATGTGTATCGCCACCTATCGGTACTAGATATTACTTCACTGTACCGACTAGTAAATTTAGGCTGCCATCTAGCGGAAGTAAATGTTACTATATCTTACCGATTAGTAGAATATGTTTCGCCATCTAGACAAAAGATAAAACATCACTAGGATAAAATCAAGATGGCTACCTGTCAATGTACTTTGAATACCATAAATACAGGCTATGTGCAGTGTAAAGTATTTAATTAAAAAAATCCTTTTAGTGATGCAATAATCAAGTGAATAATATTTTTTATTTATAATAATTCGTTTCATATTCYTTATTAAGTGATCGCCAATTCTGGATGAAAATAATTAAACTGGATAAAGTGCTGTGGGACAGTGTTATGTTATAACCTAAGAAAAATGATTTTCTTAATTAAATCCGAGAATGCAGATGAATTCCAGACGTTCTTTTTATTAAATTATTATAACAAATACTAGTAAGTAACTTATATATTTTGATATACGAAATTCTACTAATTATTAAAATATATGGATTATTTTGTMTTTTAACTYTATGCATTATCTAAACATTTTCTCTCTTCAAACTTATTTTGGTATTTATATAAACTACTTTTTAAAATATTTTTAAATCAGATCAGCATGCAGATCTATATTTTAAATTCCAATCCAAGAACGTCATACCCAAGAGAAGAAGAGTACATTACACCATTGGATCAATGGATATATATTTCATTTTCTTACGACTAACGATTAGAAGATTTGCATTGATTATGTAATCCGAAAAAGAGTTTTATTCTATAATATTATGTAAATAGAATGCAGCTGCAGTAACAAAGAATAATCAAGACAAGAATGTGTCAAAAGGTAAGCATTGCAATCTTGTATTTGTAAAAGACAAACCTATATTAAACTGATTAATAAACTAATACATTCCACAGGGGAGTTAAATAATTTGACTAGAAGTGTCTACTCATTATTATCAAAATTGATAAGAAGAATAAAACAATACTACAACTATGAAAGATTGTTTAATGCACTGTTCTTATCATACTTGCACTGCGAGAAAACCATATGTAGTAATATTTTATCAAAAGAATACCAGAACACATGTATCTTAGTTATCACAAAATAAGAAAACAAGTGGCAAATACATTATGTAAGGTAACTCTATTATAGAAGAATATCTTTTACAAAGTTTTGTACACGGTAATAGAAGATATGTTTTCTTCATTGGCTGACAAGAAAAATTGATGTATTTGTTAATAAATATCTTATTTGCAAGGAATTTCATGTGAATTATTATGGGAATAGAATGCAGCTGCTCTGATTAAAAATAATCTAGACAATAATATGTTAAGAGGTAAATATAATAATTTAGTTAGAAAAAGAAGTAAATATTATAATACTATTAAAATACACTTATTTGTATCATATAGTAAATGATTAAGATTTTATTAATTTTTAATCAGTTAATAAAAATGACTGTGTCTTTTATGTTAGATCATCATCATCATCATCAGCATCTTCCTTAAGAAAAATTCAATCATGATCATCATTAATATATACTCTATATATACACATATATTTCTTTTCTTATAATACATTAGTGTTTTGCATAAACTATACATAGATATATGTTGATGTGATGATAGTGTATTATATATATAGTTAAAAAATATTACATTAATTCTCATGCGTGACCATAAGAATATAATTTCATGGAAAATTAATTATTATRTWACAAAATATTTCGATGCATGTACAATTATATGTAGTAGTAATTCATGTTACAGTAATCGACTTCTATTAACTGAACAACAACAAAATGACATATTTAATTTGTTACTAAAAACATATTTATGACTTATTTTTAAAATATTACATAAACACACTTGAAAATAAATATTGTTTCAGATAATAAAAGTATT